CCCACACCCCACCACCAACACGGGAAGCCAGTAGAACAGCACTGGAGTTTGGAAACTGAGACTGTTAAGTAACTAGCTAGAGCATTTGTTGTGTAGGTTTATTGTGGTGCCGAATCTGTTACGGTTTTAAGAAGTTTTGGGACAGGATAACAACTTGAAGGATATAGCTTTGTTTTATAGAGTTTTCATAATTGGATCATATTTGTATATATGTCCCAAAATAATCTTGTAAGTAAACAAGAGAACTCTTGGTCTATTTTTGAAAGAATACTCTTTAGCCCAGCATTTGCATTGATGTATGAAATGTGCTAATTACAAGTAATATTTTAAATCTATTCATTAAAGCACGTTTCCCAGGTGTTGGGAATTCTTCACACTTCAAGATAAAACTGGAGTATTTCTGTGTGTGTGTGTGTGTGAGAGAGAGAGAGAGAGAGAGAAAGAGACAAAGAGAGGGGGAGAAAATGAGGAATACATACAGAAAAGAGTATACAACATACACACAGGGTTTAACAATAGCAAACAGGTAAAGAAATAGAACATTATGAGAATCACCCTCACCATATTCGTCTCCCCAGGTTCAAATCATCTCTCCCTTTATAGGTCAGCACTATCTTGACCTTTATGATAATTACTTATTTTTCTTTATACTTTTCATCCTTACATAGACATCCCTAACCAACATGGTTTGGTTTTATTGGTTTTTGTGAACTTTGTATAAATGAAATTATAGCATATAAATCTTTTCGTTTCTTGCTTTCTTTACCCAGTTGTTTGTACCAATTTGTACAAACCATTGTTTGTTGGTGAGAATTCCCAATGTTCCATGTTCTTGCCAACACTTGAAGTAAGTGTATTATTAAACTGTTTTACTTTTTGCCAATCTAGGGACTATATATGGTATCTTACTGTGGTTTTAATTTGCATTCTACTGGTAACTAATGATGTCGATTACCTTTCCATATATTTATTGTCAAAATATACTTCTTTGAACATGTTTTATTACATAGATCTTCTTCTCCTCCATTTAATTGGACTATTCCACAAATCAATTTGGAAGATTATATTGTAGCTAAATTTCTTTTCTTCTTTTACTTTTTTCTTTTATTGAGATGGGGTCTTGCTTTGTCGCTCAGGCTGGGGTGTAGTGGTATGATCATGGCTCACTGTAGCCTCAACCTCCCAGGCTCAGGTGATCCTACTGTCTTGGCCTCCGAAGTGCCTGGTGCTACAGATGCACACCACCACACCAGCTAATTTTATTTTATTTATCTATTTATCTTTTTATTTATTTATTTATTTATTTATTTATTTATTTATTTATTGAGATGGAGTTTTGCTCTTGTTGCCCAGGCTGGAGTAGATGGCATGATCTCGACTCACTGCAACCTCCACCTCCCAGGTTCAAGTGATTCTCCTGACTCAGCCTCCCAAGTAGCTGGGATTACAGGCATGCACCACCATGCCTAGCTAATTTTGAATTTTCAGTAGAGATGGGGTTTCACCATGTTGGCCAGGCTGGTCTCGAACTCCTGACCTAAGGTGATCCACCCACTTTGGCCTCCCAAAGTGCTGGGATTATAGGCATGAGCCACCGCACCCAGCCTGTTTTATTTTTTGTAGAGACAAGGTCTTGCCGTGTTGCCCAGGCTGGTTTCAAACTCCTGGCCTCAAGCAACCCTCCTGCCTTGGCCTCCCAAAGTGCTGGGAAAATGACAGGCATGAACCTCTGCACCTGTCCTGTAGCTAAATTTCTTAAAGCCACATTTACAGCATTAAGTCAGTATCAGAGAACCAAGAACTGAGGGGGAGAGAGGAGATGAAGTAGGGATAGAGAGATGAACTGACAAATCATAAGTAAAAATAAAAACTTAATGGAAAATTCAGAGAGATGGGAAAGAAGATGTAAAGTTGTTTCTAAAAGATAGGGATGAGGAACACAATCCTTTTTTTTTTCTTTTTTAGACAAGATCTAGCTCCATCTTCCAGGCTCGAGTGCAATCTTGGCTCACTGCAACTTCCACTTCCCGGGCTCAAGCCATCCTCCCACCTCAGCCACCTGAGTAACTGGGACTACCGGTGTGCACCACCACACCCAGCTAATTTTTGTATTTTTAGTAGAGACGAGGTTTTACCCTCTTGCCCAGACTGGACTTGAACTCGTGAGCTCAAGTGATCCACCCACCTTGGCCTTCCAAAGTGCCAGGATTACAGGCATCAGCCACTGTGCCCGGCCCAATCCTGTCTTTTAAAGAAGATATTTTTCAGACTATAAAGTTGGAACAGGAAAAAAAAAGATGCAAATTAAAGATGGCGAAAGGAAAACAGAACTTCATATTATTTCGTTACATAAGAAATAATGTAAGCCAGGTGTGGTGGCTCATGCTGTTATCAAAGCACTTTGGGAGGCTGAGACAGGAGGATTGCTTTAGGCAAGAAGTTCGAGACCAGCTTGGGCAACATAGTGAGATCCTCATCTCTATTTTTTATGTAATTTAAAAAATAATAATAAAAGAAAAAAATCTACATGAATTAGTCACCCTAAAGCCCTACCCTACAAGAGGTGCCCTCTGAGACCTTCATATGTATAAAAACGTGGTATTTGAGCTTCTACTTCTTTTCACTAATGAGACAGAAATTTTAAATGTTCACTTTTTTTTTTTTTGCAACCACAAAATTTGCCCAATGTCGGTATCCTACCCACAGTAATAAGGTAAAACAAATCTGTTTGATGTTGCTTATTATTAAATGGGAATGACTTTTTGCCTAAGGTGTTGGTGTAATCATTAACTGCAAGGGAAGTGGTTATGGTCATTGAGGATTCTGGTTTGACCTAGCACTGGGAATTTTTTTTTCTTTTTCTTTTTCTTTTTTTTTTTTTTTGAGACAGGGTCTCACTCTGTTGCCCGGACTGGAGTGTAGTGGCGCAATCTCGGCTCATGGCAACATCCGCCTCCCAGGCTCAAGTGATTTTCCTGCCTCAGCCTCTCGAATAGCTGGGATTACAGGCACGTGCCACCACACCTGGCTAGTTTTTGTATTTTTAGTCGAGGTGGGGTTTCACTATATTGGCCAGGCTAGTCTCGAATTCCTGACCTCAAATGATCTACCACCTCAGCCTCCCAAAGTGCTGGGATTACAGCAGTGAGCCACCGCGCCTGGTCCGCACTGGGAATTTTTAAAGATCACATGCCTTTCTTCTTAAGGACTGTCTAGACAACAAAATTTAGAATTGTGGCTTGGGGTTACCTAATCACAAAAATTAGAGATACTTGTTTTAACCAGTTCAGTTGCCAAGAAAAAAATGCCACTAGTTTGATTAAGCAATAAAGAACGTTCTTTTATTTAGAATTTGAAATTTGTATAATCCCTGATATTGAAGAAACAAGGGATATTAAAATATTGAAAACCAGTTCATCTCGCCCTACACAGAGCTAATTCACTAGCACAGTGAAGACGGTTTATACACTAACAACTAATTTTCACACACATAACTGAAAATGGAGACCACATTGTACAAAGAAATAAAATTATATCAAATTATGGAAGGCCGAAAATAGGATTATAGATGGCTTACCTAATTCTATTTGACTTGCACTGATGTTTCCCTCCCAAGGTTCACTCCTGTATACTCAGTTCTCAACAGACTTTTAGGTGATAGACATTCAGCCATATATTTGCAGTCCTGACCTTTGCTTTGAGCTTTAGTCCTGACCTTTAACTTTCTGCTGGGTATCTCTAATTTCTAAAGTCAACTGCATCTCACATCCCCCTTTGGGCTTCCTCATTTTTTCCAGCTCTTCAACAGTCTAAAACCTTGGAATCACCTCAGATTCCTCCTTCTAGCCTATTTGCCTCTCTCTTCTTAATCTAATCAGTTGCAAATTCTTGCCAAACCATTTCTTTTCATCCCTCATTGCCTTATGTCTAATCCAGACCTTATCTGTCTCATACCTACACTATCACAACAGCCCCCTAACTGGATGGCTCCAGCCAGTCTTGGGCTCTTTCATGCTAGCTTCATCTTTGAACTTTGCACAACCGTTTCTTTCCTCAAACATGCCCCACCATGCTTGTCCATTTTAGCCTCATGTCTATGCTCATCTCTCCCCATCCTTTTTCTTTAATGATTATTTACCTCATGATACTTCTTTGATGGATCTCCCTGATAGCACTAATCCTTTATAAGAACCTCCTTCCTTTACTATCTGTGTTCTTCCTTTGACAGGAAGTGTACAGGAGGCTGTGTTCTTTACATTTTATGATTGGTCCCATCTCCAGAACTGACTGGATTGTCACTCCACTGAACTTAGCCAGCCAAATGTCTTTTTGCACCTTGCTTTTTTCACTTAACATATACTGGAGATCTCTCCTTACCAGCACATATATGTTTATCTAATGCTTTTAAAATGTCTGCTAATTATGGAAAATTCATAATTTATTTAATTAGTCCCTTACTGATGGCTACTGATGGTTTTTCTGGCTTTATTATCAAACACGCTGCAGTGAATATCCTTGCATATCTTGAGCAAATTTAATGTCACAGGAAAATAATTGTACTGCCATTGCTGGATTAAAGGTGTGTGTCTGTGTGTGTGTGTTTACCTATAAACACTTTTTTTTTAAGAGCTGAGGTCTCCTTATGTTGCCCAGGCTGGAGTGCAGTGGCTATTCAAAGGCACGATTATAGTGCCTTGAACTCCTGGCAAGTGATCTTCTTGCTTCAGCCTCCTGAGCAGCTGGGACTACAGGCGTGCTTGATATATTTTATTTTTATTTTGCTTTTTTGAGATGGAGTCTTGCTCTGTCGCCCAGGCTGGAGTGCAGTGGCACGATCTCGGCTCACTGCAACCTCCACCTCCCAGGTTCAAGCCATTCTCCTGCCTCAGCCTCCGAGTATCTGGGATTACAGGTGCCTGCCACCACACCTGGCTAATTTTTGTATTTTTTAGTAGAGACGGGGTTTTGCCATGTTGGCAAGGCTGGTCTCGAAGCCCTGACCTCAGGTGATCCTCCCACCTCAGCCTCCCAAAGTGCTGGGATTACTAGCGTGAACCACCGCGCCCCGGCCCACCTGGTAGATTTTAAATTTGTACATAATAGAATTATCTTTTAAAATAATTTTCACTGTCTACTCCCATTTTTGATATTACTAATTTTCCTGCCACTCAAGATTAGGACATTGACAGTGGGAGCTTTGCTTATTGCAGCTTATCTCCACGAATTTAGCGCTGGAGAGAAAACGTAAAGCCAGGAGAAAAGAGCATTTTGAAAGCCACAGAATAGGCTCTTCAGCGGCTAGAACACGGTTCAGACTAGGGCAATATGGCGTCCTGGCCACCGGATTGCATCATCTTTCTTTGCCAAGGATCACTGGAGCCCAAATCAAATCTAAATGTGTCCACCTCTAAAATGGGGATAATCTTCATGTTTCTTTTCCTTTTACAGATATAAATGCAATTTCATTGTCTTGACCATTAGGAATTCTCTGAAGGTCTGTTACTACATAAATTGTGTGAACTCTGAACAGCAGAGTTCAAACTTGATCAGAACAAAAAAGGCTAGAGAGTGGCAACTCTCCTTTCCGTCATTTTAACGGCTTTTGCATGACCAAATGTTTCCTGTGCCAATCAGTGGGGAAGAAGCAGCGAGCTTGTCTCTTAATTGCTTTAGAGTTCTGTTTGTCTATTTAGCGTTTCTTTTTGAAGTCTGAAGATTTATGGAACAATAAACGTCATTTAATGCTGCGTGCTGTTTTGGATTCCTCACTGGTTTTAGAATTTGGGTAAAACTACTTAGCTGAAAGTTTAACAAATTTGAAATTACAAATATTGTAGAATAGAAAAGTTCACCTCAGTGACATAAAATTACGGCAGCAGCAAAGTTTGTTACTTTTTTTTTTTTTTAAGTAATAAGATGTAGACATTTTAGCATAACAAATGTTTTCAACTTGTTTGGGAAAAAATAAACTAGGAAGCAAGGTTTAAATAAGAATGGTTTGGTTTGGTTCTGAATGATGTTGTTAGTACACCACAATGCAAGCGCTGGCTATGCATTTGGGCCAATTTAGAGAAGTCCACAGCAATGCACATTCGCTCAGTAGTGTGAGAGATTAATTGTAGGCAGGTCCCATCTTTTTTACAGTATTCAAACATTCAACCTTAAGACCCCATAAGGGCGTCTCATTCCACCGAGAACTAGAGAAGCTTGACTTGTGTGATCACCTCCTTATTCATGGACTGGGGCGGAACACAGATCCGGAGGAGGGGGCTTCTCTTCACCAAGCGCAAAGCCTACCTTCCAGAAGGCTGGCTGCACAAGCGGACGCCCTAAAGGCGGTGAAAGCGGGCGAATTCGCCTCGATGCCTTCCTTCCCTAACTCCGGCCCACTCTGGTTGCTCCTTCCCAGGTGCTCCAAGCTCTCCAGAGTTTCTGGTGGTTTAAAGTTTCCGCTTCACGCCCAGACTGCGCTAAGGGCAAATACCACCCCTTTCCCCCTCTAGGACCCCTCCCGTGAAGTCTGTGCCAACCCTGAGCCTCTTCACCTTCGAGATTGGCCGCAGATACCCCGACGGAATGGCCTGGGGAGCCGAAAGCTGTCCCCAGCCCGGGACAGCTACAGCCCAAGCCGCTCAGGCCAGCCTCGCACAGTAGCGCGTCTCCTTCCCGCGACTCCCTCGCCGGCCTGCGAACCCGCAGGGGAGGCGGAGGTCGGTTCAAACCCTGCGAGAGCCCCTGCCCAGCGCCGAGTCCTGCACACGGTGGAAAGTCCTTTCGCATTAGCGGGCAGGATTAAACGACTTCACACCACGAGGTGCAAGACTGGGCTTCGGGGCCTTCCTCGGTGTTGCTATTTTAAAAGAAGCTGCTCAGTAACCCAGAAGAAGATGACGGGGGACGGTGGTGTAGACCCGGCTGGAGAGGAGTCCAGGGCCTGGGAGGCGCCCCTCAGACTGAGGGGCTGGGGACCCCGAAGTTGGGCGTCCAGGCCCCGCTAGCGCTGCTCCCGGCATTGTCCCGCCTGGGGCAGGCGTGCGGTCCCTCGGCAGTGCCGGCCAGCACGTAGTAGCTGCTGAATAAATAAATGCCTGTGCAACAGGGAACGTCCCGGCCCACCCAGGCCGGGTCAGGGCCTACGAAGGGCTGACGTCCGGCGCCGCCGCGGGTCCCTCCGGCGTGGCCGCCCACACCTCCTGGCCACGGCGGGGCTGCGGTGGGGGGACATCCTGGGGCGGGCGGCTGGACGGAAGGGACTGGACTTGGGGCGCGTCCACGGCCAACTGCCCCGAACCCAGTAGGGGAGGCCAGGGACCGGGAGCCTCTGGGGCCCCGCGCCTGGAGCGCCCAGACGCGAAGGGGCGGCGGGTGGCTCCGGGCGCGGCGCGGGCGACTCCGGGGCCGGACTGGAGTTCCTCCGCTTTCCGCCGCGCAGCCCGCCGTCTCCGCCGAGGTCACCAAGGGCCAGGCACCCTGCGGAGGCCCCGCCGTCCCGGACCCACGGACGCGCTCCCGGGGCTTGGCGTTTTCCCACCACCCCGGACAGCCCTTGGGGTGCCGGAGGGGATCCGGGCACGGCGTGGGGAGCCTTTGTGGCCTCTCTGCTTGTTGAGGTTTTTTCTCCCAAGGAGAGCTCCCCCTCCAACCCTTTCCTCTCGAAAGTTTTGTGGTTTCCCTAAAAGACGAAAGAAGTTGAGAAGGTTCAAAGACTTTTTTGCAATCTTCCCGGTCCAGAAACACTAAAACCTCTAGGCGTTTGGCCCAGGGGAGCTATCTGGGGTCAAGCGGAGGGAGCGGGCCGCACATTCCTTCGCCCGCCTCCCTCCCACCTGGAGCCGCGGCCCCGCTGGGGCAGTGCACCCGAGCTGGTGCGGCGGCGCCGGCAGCGGCGGGGTTAAGCTCAGGAATGCGGCGGGAGGAATGCGTATGCAGATGAGGCGGGCGGGCGCATGCTAATCGCATGCAAATGAGGGGCCCGCCGCGGCCGAGGCCGCGCCGCAGCTTCCCGGATCCGAGCCCAGACGGCGGCGGCTCCGGCAGCCTGGGCGCCGCGACCCTCGGCGGCCACAGGGGGACGGGGCGGAGGAGGAGGAAGAGGCGGAGGCAGCGGCGGCGAGGGGGAGGAGGGTTCGCTCGCCGGCTCCGACGCAGACATGGTGGACTGATCCCCAGCGGGGCCGCGAACAGCGTTTCCTGAGGCACCTCCCGCGCCTGGTTCTGCCGCGCCCCGCGCCCCTCAGCCCCTCGCCGGCGCCCGCGTCGCGGGTTGGCGGCCGGGCCGGGCAGCCGCGTTCCCGCCGCGTCCCGCGCCCGGTCCCTATGGAGGCGCCGTTCGCCGGTGAGGCCGCCGACCATGCCTAGGAGGGCCGGGAGCGGTCAGCTGCCGCTGCCCCGGGGCTGGGAGGAGGCCAGGGACTACGACGGCAAGGTCTTCTACATCGACCACAACACCAGGAGGACCAGCTGGATCGACCCCCGGGACAGGTGGGCGCCGGCCGCGGGGGCGCGGGCCCGTTCGGACGCGGCGGCTGTTGTCCCGGAGACCCGGCCGCGCGGGGGGCGGGGGCGGCGCCGGCCCGCGGTGGTGCCCGGAGAAGTCCGGGCAGGGGTGTGGGGTGGCTGCCCCGGCGGGGCCGAGGAGCCGCCCGTGCCCGGGGCCCTCCGCCCACCGGCTTCCCGACGCCCCTCCGGGGACCCTGCGACACGCCCCGCCCCGAGGCAAGGCTGGAGTCGCTGCCCCGGGCCGACGCCGCACGCCAGGCTAACGGACCCGAGGGGCCACCTGAGCCCTGTTAGGAACTTTCCTAGGCTTCGCGGTGCCCACGTTGAGGCTGCAGGGCACCTTCGGCCTCTGGGCGGCGGGGTGGGCTAGGGCCTCAGTGCCAGGTGGGGAACGAGCCCTCCGGGCCACCTGTGGCATCCCTCAGGCCGTCCTTGGCGCCCGAGCCTGGACTGCGAGCTCTTGGCGGGGGCGCCCAGCCTGGCCGGAGGTCCCGAGCTGGGAAGGGGCTCCCGCCCCACGCCGGGCCCTGCTAGTGGGTGTGGCTGGCTTTGCCCCTCAGAGTTTGGAAACGCGCGTTTGGGGGTTTCACTGTCTGGCGTTAGTCTTCACCTGAAAACTTGAACCGACTCCCAGATCGTGAACAGGCATATTCTGTTTGGAAGGGAGATGTAGTGAAATGAACGTGGGGTATTGAGGAACTCTGACTTGAGCTTCCCCTGGTTTGTTTTTTGTTTTTTTAAATTAGTTCAGGAACTGAAAGTTCACACATGTTTCTGTATCCCATATTTCTTTTTACCCTTAAAATTTCTTAGAATTATTGTAAGAATAATAGGTATTCCTAATTATAAATTTGTAAATTATCCATTAAGGAGATATTCCTAATTGTAAATTTAAATAACGTATCACCAGCGATAACTTTGACATTTGGACTTTTGTCATTTCTGAAAATTATAACTTTTTATTGAATGTGGTGTTTGGGCTTTATAACCTTTTTAGGTGCTTCTATTTAACATTTTCCCTTTTCTCAATTTGAAGCTGAAATACCTAACTACTTTATATTCTCAGTTACTTTTGCCTTAAAAATGTCGTTTTTGAAAGTTACTGAAAAGCAATGACAAGAAAGTCATAAATAACATTATGAATTTATGGAACAATCCTTGTTCAATTATCCATGAAGCTATGGGCTTAGGTTTCCCTCCTGAAATGAGAAAAGGCACCTGTGCTGACGTTCGGTCTTGCCCAGCCTGGCTGCCTGTTGCTGGCCTGATGAAAATTGTGACAGGCATCACACCTTCCTTCACAGTCTTTCCAGACATGCCAGTTGTTGTCGTAAACTTCACGCTCCAAGCCAGTTATTTGACTTACGCCATTGCACTTTGAAACTACTTAACAGATAGTAAATGTCAGCGCTGATGGTGTGCACCCAACTGCGGCTTTTAAGGCACCTGTATAAATATTTGACTTCTACAGTTATGTGGTAGGTAATTTTTTCTGCTTTCTGATACTTGGAGTTTCAGGTTATTGAAATAGCAATAAATTCTTGAAATATTTAGGCATTCTAGGTTTTCTTCTCCTTCAGTTTACATGTTTTATTGTATTATCTCATTTGTGTTTACCAGAAAGGATTACAAGAATATGTAATGCCTGGGTAAAGTAAATAGAAAGTGGAGTGAAATTTTATGACTTGGCGTATCCATATCACTACTTTTTTCACAAGTCAAGCATGTCCTTTATTTTAAACTCTTCATGGATTAGTAATTATTATGAACTATTTTCAGGAAACTGGGTAAACAATTCATTGGACGGGGACAAATAGTTTTGACTAAGATAGCTTTTTATTTTTCCAATTTTCCTTGCAGCTGTTAGGTCTTAAATATTTAGAGAGATAAATTTGACGACTTACAAATATTTCTGGATCTCAGTATTAGAGTTTTAAAAGATATTCTGTGAGATCAGAGTCACCATTATATACTCAGTTTAAATTTAATTATGTTTTCTTTTAGGGCAATTAAGTGACTAAATCTTACTAAATAGAGTAAGAGATGATGGGAACGTATATTTGGAGTAACTATTAACTCTTGTCAGTTTTGTTACACACTTACCAAACATATGGAAAGAGAGATGTTACACAGGCCAATAGGAGTGTGTGGATTCTTCTGCAGGATCAACTTACAAATCCTGAAAGAAAAACAACTTGATATACTATGGGTCTGCAGGACTTTTGAACTATTTAAGCCATTTAATTAGAATGGTCACGATGATTTACCTTGCGTATTTTTTATGTTATTCTGTTAAGGAAAAGAATTTTGTGTTTTTGATAGTCTATCAGAATTTGTCGAATATTTCTGATTATACAGATAATTATGCCGGTTTAGTAGGGGAGGCTAGGGGATTTTATAAGAACATAATTTCATTCAACAAGTAGTCATGCCAGAATGCTGAAGCATTATTCTAAAATGCTTTTAAGCTTTTGGAGGTAAATGACATCATGCAAACTTTGCTGGGATGTGATCAAAACTTTTATTGCTCCACCTCTTACTCTTATTGACTAAGTTTACGTGAGTTTCTGAATCCCTCTAAACCTCCATTTTTCAGCTCTAAAATGAGGATAATATCATCTTCGTAGGGGTGTTTGTGGGCTCACCATTAGGGCCCAGCCTAATTGTATTAGTGTAGTGTTGACATTCTAGTTTAGGAACTGAGTGACCCTGGAAATAGTAGAAATATTACCATGGACAGTATTTACTCAGTGTGTATTGTGTGCTAGCCACTCTGCTAAGCTCTTTTACTGTGATCTCATTTCATTCTCCCATTGGTTCTATGAGGTAGGTACTATTGTCATCTTCCAGTTACAGAGGAGGAAATCGAGTCACAGAGAAGTAGCCCTTGTTAAGTGTGGAACTAGGATTTAAAGCCAGACAGCTTGACTCTACAGCATGTGTCCTTAATCGTTCCTTTAAACCGTCTGGACACTTGGGCATGTTCAGGGCTCTTTGGGTGGAGTGCACGGGGTCGGGGGGGGGGGGCAGAACCTTTTTGCCCGCTGTTTATTTTTCAGGCTGATTGACTAGGCTAATCCTGGGGAAATCTCCCTGTTTGTGATTAATTCCTTGTCCCCCTACCCTGCCTGCATGGGCCCACTCCCTGAATGTTATTTTGTAGGTTTACCTCCTCTTTTTTTGCTCACCATGGACACCTTTTGACCATACCAGTTGGTGTTTATGGTAGGCCATAGGTCTTGGCCAAATGGCCTGGTGCTTTTTTTTTTTTTTTAAATTACATTCAACAAAGTAGTAAAAGGTGGGATGGATTGGCTTCATTGCCTTTTGGAGGAGTAGGGAGCTAAAGTGGGCAGGCCTCAGAGATAGGGTGAGTTGGCTTTACCAACTCCCAGTAGAACTTTGCTCATCTTCTATCCTTGGATTGAATGTTACCCAGAGATACATGACTTTGTCTAGTTGAACTGAAAGATTTCACACCATACAAAGTGACTTTCCATTAGACGCTCATCTGTGGCTTATGGCTAGGGTCAGATGTTGAGCAACCTGTACCTTCTAATTGAATAGAAATAATCTTGGTGGGTGGGAGGGTGAGAAGGGAGGAAGGGGGTGCCACCTGGGTATATCATTGAAGTCGCAGTTAACTTTTGGCTCTCCACACCGGTTTGAGGCATATGATTAGGATCTGAGGAACTCTGTATTGTCTTTTTTTTTTTTTTTTTTTTTTTTTTTTTTTTTTTTTTTTTTGAGACAGAGTTTCGCTCTTGTTGTCCAAGTTGAAGAGCAGTGGCGGGATCTCAGCTTACTGCAGCTCCCGGGTTCAAGCGATTCCCCCTGCCTCAGCCTCCTGAGTAGCTAGGATTACAGGCGCCTGCCACCACGCCTGGCTGATTTTTTGTATTTTTAGTAGAAATGGGATTTCACCATGTTGTCCAGGCTGGTCTCGAACTCCTGACCTCAGGTGATCTGCCCGCCTCGGCCTCCCAAAGTGCTGGAATTACAGGCATGAGCCACCGCACCCGGCCTTGTCTTTCTCTTTATTTTCTTTTTTTTTTTTTTTTTTTGTGCAGTGGCGCGATCTCGGGTCACCGCGACCTCTGCCTCCTGGGTTCAAGTGATTCTCATGCCTCAGCCTCCCAAGTAGCTGGGATTACAGGCACTCACCACCATACCCAGCTAATTTTTTTGTATTTTTGGTAGAGGCAGGGTTTCACCATGTTGGCCAGGATGGTCTCCATCTCCTGACCTTGTGATCCGCCCACCTCGGCCTGCCAAAGTGCTGGGAGTACAGCTGTGAGTCACTGCGCCCAGCCTGGCCTTGTCTTTCTTTCAAAGTCTAAGTAATTTCCTTTCTCTTTTTTTTTTTTTTTTTTTTTTTTTGAGACAGAGTATCTCATTGTCGCCCAGGCTGGAGTGCAGTGGCACGATGTTGGCTCTCTGCAAGCTCTGCCTCCTGGGTTGAAGTTATTCTCCTGCCTCAGTCTCCCGAGTAGGTGGGATTACAGGCACCCGCTACCACGCCCAGCTAATTTTTTGTATATTTTTTAGTAGAGGTGGAGTTTTACCATGTTGGCCAGGCTAACAAACTAAGTAATTTCTATCAACCCACTGCTAGAGTGTAAACTCCTCAAGTCCATGTTTGCATATTACTGCTTTTTGAATCCTTTATACATGCTAGATGTTAAATAAATGTTGGTTAATTTAGTTAATGAAGACAGTTTGTTGAATTAATGAAAGAATATTAGTTGAGCTACTCTCTTATTTCCAGTTTCTTACTGTTGGGCTTTCAAAAAATAAACCCATTACCACCAACAGAGACAACTGACCTTCCAGGTAGATTTAAAATAATGAGA